TTCTTTTCTTCTTTTATCATCTCTTTTCTTTTATTATTTTTATATTCTTTTTATATTCTCTATTTTCTACTTTTATTCTTTCTTCATCTTCTTCTACTTCTTACTTTCTTTTTATTCTTTTATATCTTTATCTTTCTTTCTCTTCTTTTTTTTTCTATTTTTAATTATTTGCTTTTTACATTGTTTTTAATTACATTCATCGTATAATCTCATGTCATATTTCTTATGTTGATAAATTGTTTCAAGGAAAAAATACAAATAATAGAAAAAGAAGAAATAAAAAGATATAGAATAATACAAAAGATGATAAAAAGAAAAGAATAAAAGAATAATAACATGATAAATGAATAAAAAATAAGAGAAATTACAAACAAATAAAAATGAATATAATAATGTTTAAATTATTTTAAAAATGAATGAATATAAAATATAATGAATATATTCAAAAAGTATTTACAAGAATTAAAAAAATATATTTATAACTTAGTCTGTAAAAATTGATTAAACACATAATGAAAAATGAAAATATTAGAAATATTATACAAATCATACAACTATCATACATATTACTCATACGAGAATGATAAAAACTATACAAAATGAGTTGCATGAATATTGAAATGAAGTATCAATTAATTCAATAATCAGGAAATGTCATAAACAATACATAATATAAATTTATAATATCCATCTCATTGAATAATATGGACAAATTATTCAATTACATTTCATTATAATAATGAAATATTATTATGAAATACTACATATTGAAAATATTAAATAAAAGAAACACACATTAATGTAGCACTTACTCAAAATGAAAATATAATAACCATAATTGAATAAACTAAATAATAATAAATATTAAAAAAGAAATTAATGGTTATAACTATGTGATAGAAGAAAAACATTTGTGATAAATACCGTATGAAATAAACATAAATTAACAATAAAAGTATAAAGAAATAGAAAATGAAATAAACATAAAAACAATACTAAGAACAGTACAAAATAAATGAGGATGATTATGTATTAACTATAACAGTTGCAATTTTGATGAAATAAACCCACAACAGACAACAAACTACAAAAACTCAAATAAATGAACGAGCGGTGATGATGATATTGACAATAATGTTCATTTTGTAACATATTAAAACAATGAAAACATATATATAGAAGTTTATCATTAATTCAATTTAGATTTTTATTATTTTACTAAAAAAATATTGTCTTGACGTATATGCCAATTATTTTATAAAAAATGCTCTAATATTAAATACATATAACCAGTACGTTGTAAATGATTGTTAGATTATATTTATACAGTTTGTTATGAAATAAGTTTGTTTAAAGTATCATAGTCCGTAGTAGTCCTATAAATTTGAGTTATAATAATTTTTTGATGTTCATCGTATTTTCTTTGTAATAATAAAGAGGTTCATGACTCTTTTCAATTATTTATGTTTTTATAATACCAATTTTCTTTTGTTTTCACAGAATAAACAACTTATACAAAATGAAAAGCTTTACTATTCATTTTAATTTCAATACATTCATATGTTACGTGTATCATATGAAAAATGATTTTGGTATATCAAGTTGACACTTTAAAACTTTATTTTAATACATTTTTACAATAAATAAATACAATAAACAAAATACTAGTCAACCCAGTTTCTATTTATTATATTCTTTAATGAAAAATAAAATCTATTTTTACGATTCTAATTTACTTTAAAGAGTTATAATGATCAACCTTATGTCTAAGTCTTAAAGACAATGAAATATCAATTTTTTATCAAATACTTTTTCGTTTATTGGAGATGAAGATGATTTGATTATGCCTATTACATTTGTAATAACCAGATGTAAAGCATTAGAATTAAAAATAACAAAAATAATTATTGTTTTATTGATGTTCAGTTTTAGTGGTATTAATAATTATTAATAAATTTCTTTAACACCTCAATGTTAATTAAAAGTAATTTTTGCAAAACAGCAACGTTGATTTTCAACTAAAAGAAACTAAATAAATAAAAAAGTAATTTGTTAATCAACAACAATTTTAATAGGTGAAGGTTTCGTATAAGTTATAGAATGAAAGAGTATTGTTGTTAGTGATAATA